GCTAGTACTGGTTACATGTCAGTGCCCACCACTAGATTATGGGCTCCCTGAGCACAGGGACTGTGTCTTTTGCATCGTGGTGTCCCCAGGCCTCTCACAGGCCTGGACAGAGCAGCTGCACTGAATGCAATTGAGCGGAGGGAACCCTGATGTGCCTCGCCATCAGCCGGTCCCCTGGGTCCCCCCCCCTCATTCCCATGGTAGAGCTGTCACCTTCAGAGTGAGCAGGTCCTCAGATACATCTGGTAAACCCCTCCTTTCACATCATAGTTATAAGATGAAATGAGGAAACTGAGGCCCAGAGAATTGGAAGCCAGCACTTCTCCCCTTGAGAGTTATCCCATAGTGAGGCCAGACCCTGAGCCTTGGGTATAGGGCACCCACTGGGGAAGGGGCTGCTTTCCAGAAGAGACATGGCTCCCATCCAGGACCCTAATTTGGGGAACAGGACATGGATGCCGCTGACTACAGCTCCATGGCCCTGGTTGGACAGCACAGAGAGCTATGTGATACGGACATCTGAGATGGGCTCCAACAGTGGCAGGAACAGGATGCAACTCTCTAGAGAGCCTCAGTGAATTTGGAAATCACCACAGCCACTTTCCTAAAAGGCCCCCCAAAGCGACCTGCATGTCCCTCAAGGTCGTAGTTCCAAGGTTCATTGTGAGGGAAGTGAGCGAGGGGAGAGGGAGCAGAGGACGAGAGAAGCTTGCAGGAGGGCCTGCTCCCTGTGTGACTATGGGGAAGGTACTGGGAGGCGGGAAGAGTGGGAAGCCTGGGGCAGGCCTCATTCACGTATTCCTCCAATACTGAGCATTTCCTAGGCACCAGAGACTGTGCTGAGTGTAGGAAAACAATGGTGGGAAAGAGCAGGGCAGCACCTAGTGCCCCGCTCTAGGGAGTGTTTGCTCCTCACACAGACTATGAAGTGAATAGCACCCCTGGAGGTGTTCAGTGCACAAGCTGCTGAACTCCGTGATAACCCTGAGGATGACATAGTCCTTGCCCTAGAGTGGGACAGCCACCAGACAGTGCCGCGCCAGCAGTGGGGCACCCAATGAAAGCACACAGCCAGGCTCGGGGAGCAGGGCTGAGACCTGAAGTGTGAGGAGAGATCACCCGGGTGAGGGTGACTGGGGGACAGGTGGGGAGTATTCCCAGCAAACAAAATATGTGAAGGCCCAAAGGCAAAGGATGGCATGGAGACAGAGAAAGGTACACAGGAATGGCTGGAACCCTGAGTGGGCCAGGACATGGAGTGATAGAAGAGCCTGGAGAAGAGTTTGCCCTACATGTATGAGGGGCCATGGAAGTACCATGGGGGGAGTACGATGATCTTCATAAGGAGGACTCAGCTGCAGTGTGGAGATAGGTTGGGAGAGGCACAGCCTTCAGGGAGCTCTGTGGGGGGTTGTCCAGGGGTGCAGGCCAGAGATGGTAGTGGGCTGGCCTAGAGTAGAGGCAGGAGGTGGCAGGAGAGGGTGGGATTTGGAAAATAGTTGAGAGGTAGCATCAGTGGGGTGTGGGGTTGAAGCAGATGCAGGGGAGAGAGAGGAGCCACGGAAAGTGACTGGGATTCTAGCCTGGCTGATGGAGTAGGGCTGGCAGGTTTGGGGCCTGGGGGAATGATGCTTGTCCAAGATTCCTTCCAGCCCAAGAACTATAGGATTTGTGTGACTGGTGCAAATCATGGGATCAGAATACTAAAACCAAGATCTCAAAGAAAACTAGAGTCAGGTCCTGGCTGAAGGCTTCATGCCCATCCCCATCCCCCTTCAGGTCACTGAGTTATCATTTTCCCCTTTTCATCTTTCCAGGATCTTCTTCATCCGGGCACCATGTCCAGCACTGGGGATATAAGTCAGGTGCCCTGTTTCTGAGAGGGAGTCAAGTAAACAGGAAACGATGATATAGGGCGGAACAGCTATGACAGGGAACCCCTGGCTATGGGAGCGCTGAGAAGGGGCATCCAGTGCAGTGTCGGGAGGGCAGGGAGAGCTTCCAGGGGGAGAAGGAGCACGGAAAGTGAGTCCCAAAGCAAGAGGAGGAGTGGTGGAGGCCCAGTGCAGGAGTGTGGAGGGAGTAGGAGCATCAGCAGTGGAGGCAAAGGGAACAGCAGGTACAAAGCCCCAAAGAGATGTGAGGCAATGAGGCCAGAGAAGTTAAGGAACTTTTCCAAGGTCACATAGTTCATTTGCAGAAGAGAGAGGAGCAGAGTTCAGTCTCTAGTAAATGTGTGCCATGTTTTTAATCACTTTGCTCTAGCCTGTCAATCCCTTTCGCTCCTTTCTCCTACCTCCAGATATGCTTGGCCCAGAGAGACCTGAGCCAGGGGAGGAGAGCTCCTTCCCAGGGCTGGGTCCACCTAGCATGAGGATCCTGTCACCTCTACTAACCCTCACCTTTCCTGCCCCACTCCTGCTGGCCTAATGTGCAAGCCCATCTATTAGAATTATGTCATGTCCACTATAAAATGTGTCCATGGGTCCTAGCTGGATTTGCTCAGTGGACAGAGCGTCGAACTGTGGACTAAAGGGTCCCAGGTTCGATTCTGGTCAAGGGCACATGCCCAGGTTGCAGGCTCGATCCCCAGTTGGGGGCGTGCAGGAAGCAGCCAATCAATGATTCTCTCTCATCATTGATATTTCTATCTCTCCCTCTCCCTTCCTCTCTGAAATCAATAAAAATATATTTTTAAAAATGTGTCCATGGTACTAATCAGAACCTGTGCACTCTATCTCCCACCTCGTCATCAGCATTAAAGGAATTCTCCTGCCCAAGCTGAAGCATGAGTTTTCTGTGCTGTTATTAACTGGACACTCCTTAAGTTGAACTGTAATCTCTTTGTGGAGAGACCATGTTTCTTTTCTTTTCGTACCCTCCTTCCTTGTTGCTTTGCACATCATAGTTATTAAAAAATATTCACTCAGTGGGCCCTTACTATGTCTAAGACATGCTGCTAGATGCTAGGGGGAGGGTAAAAAGATGAATAAGAGATGGTCTCTGTGCCCAAGGAGCAGAGTCACGGGGAATTGAGAGGACTCCCTCATCCGGGCCAACTGGCCACTCCCATCACCCCGTGGTGTTCCGATGGGCTGTGCTCCAGCCACTGCACGGGCTCACTACCTCACAAGCAAGACATTCTGAGTTTGTAACAGCTCTAGTTGTTAATTAAGCTAAAATCTTCCTCTCCTATAGCTTTCATACATTAGTACCACTAGTTTTGCCTAGAATGACAGAAAATACATCTAATCCCTTTATCACATGCCAGATCTTCCATACTTAAAGCTTGTCTTCATGTCTACAGTTTCACCATATGTCTCCAGCCAATACTGGAGAATCCTACAGAATTCTCATTTCCCCATTAAACGAAGCCCCAAAGCCAAGCACTGGCTCCAGACAGGCCCAAGCAGTAGCCACTGTGGGGCTCCGCGGCTGCTCCCTATTCTGGGGCCTTGCCTACCCTCCTGTGAAGGCTGCTGTGCTCACTTCTTTGGCAGCTGCTTCACCATCTGTTGACTCATCTTAAGCTTTCAGTGAACTGAAGCCCTAAGGCCTTTCTCTAGGACCAAGCCTGCCCATCTTATACTAGTGCTGTGGGCTTTACAAAGCGAAGAGCAGAACTTTCGATTTTTTTCTATTTAATTTGACTTATTTCACATAAACCATCTTTCTATCCTGGATTCTATCATCAAGGTATTAGCTGTCCCCTATTAGCTGTGTCATCAGAAAGTTCTGCCTCGTTACAATGATTGAACCAGACAGGACCAAGGATAGCGCCCCACTCACCTTGGAATTGGCACTGATGGAAAATAAACGGTTTTGAGAATTCTGTTTGAGAACAACCCACCTGATTATATTGTGATCTAATCTACTTTCTATCATGTCTGCATAGCTATAATAAGAGATTTTATCAAATACCATTTGAGAGCCAGGTGCACCGAACTGCAGCTGGCCCCGGTCCAGGACAATAGCTTTGCACTGATGCCTAAAGAAAGACATAGGTTGGTTTCGCTTGATTCGGTTTTATTGACCTTTCTATTAGCTTCCTTTCCTGAGACTCACCTTGTCCACTGTATTAAAGATTGGTTCTTTAGGACCTACTCATTTCAGAGCAAAAGGGACCTTGGAGATGATTCAAGATCTGATTCCCAATTTTGCTGATGAGAAACCAATACCCAGAGTGCTTAACTGGCATTCCTGAAGTCACAGCATTACTAGAGCAAGAACAAGGCATAGCAACATCAAGTCATAATGTCTTTCTCTAAGCACATTCATACACGTGTGCATATGGACACACATACACACACACACACACACATACGTACATACACACATACTTATAGATCTCCCTTCAGGTCTCTTAATTGTCCACCAATAAAAACTGTGGCATTATCATTTAGGGGTTCAGCTGGGACCCCATAACTGATGACTTTCTCCTCCTGCTTCACAGAACAGAAGATAAGGCCTAGAATTCCTCAAAGGGACTTGTTCTCTAGCAGGGAAGCTGTGGACTTCCCCCAACCTGGGTTTACCTTGGGAATCCTCACTCTACCAGGAGACCACTGTCTTTGAACTTCATTTGAGCCTGTGTGTGCCTAGGCATGGGATTGCCCTTTGAGTGGGCATATAAGCTGGGCTATCTCTTCTAAGTAGTGAGTGGAGGTGGGGCTTCCCCAGAGAACAATAGGGCACTTGCCTAATGCTGTGTGGGGCAGTTTAGGCTTCCTCCATATGGTGAGAGGAGCAGAGCCCTGGACACACTGCCTAAGGGCCTGGCATTGCAAGGGTGTGACCCTACCATGTGGAGGCTGGTTACATTGGAGACTGGGCTGCGGGGAAGGGCAGATTACTTAGCTCTTTTTGAGAGAACTCGTGGCAAAAAAGATGCAGTTGCAGCAAAGGTGGGCCCAGATGGGGAGATCCCTGGTACCCTGGACAGCTCCCAAAGGCAGGGCCCCTTCACCACCCTTCCCACCCCCCTTAGAGGCCCTGGGTACCTGTTTATTCTTTAGGTCAAGGGAGAGTTCGTAATCGGAGGCAGCAGGGGCGTGGGAGCAGAGCGCTGTCGCCAGGGCAGGCTGCTGCCGGCCAGGGGAGGCCCCGCGGTGGGGGCCAGCCCTTGGGGAGGCACCCCCCGCCCCTGGCCTCTCCTCCTCCTCCTGCAGCTCCTGGGCTTGAGCCTTCGGGGCATGGGCACTGGGTCTGCCGGCTGCCACCACGGAGTCCTCCATGCCCCCACTGGCCTGGGCACAGGAGCCGTCACTGTGAACAAAAGGCAACGGTGCTCGGTTGGCGGAGAGTGGGACAGGGTGCATGTGGGTGCAGGGGTGGGGGGAGAACCTGGGCAGTCTGGCAGCAATGGGCCTTTCTAGTGGTGAGGGCTGGTGGAGATGTCTCCTGCAGTCCCCTCTGGGGAGGGGCTATCTTGGCAGGGAATAGCCCCAGGCAAGGAGGAGGACCTAAACTTGAGGAGGGTGTCCCACATCGAGGAAAGAAGCAGCTATGGCCAGAGCTCATGAACCTCTACTTAGGAGCAGTAGCGCAGCGTGGCAAAGAGTAGATTGCCTGGGTTAAAATGTGGGCTCTGCCTCTTAGTAGCTAGTGGGTCTCTGAGCAGATTACTTAACCTCACTGTACCTATTTCCCCATCTATAAAATGGGCATAATAATGGTATCTACTTCATAGGAATGTTGGAAGGCTTAAGTTAGTTAAAATTCTTAAAACAGTGCTTGGTTCATGGTAATTGTTGTGTAAGTGTTAGCTATCATAGTTATCAGATACTTGGCTTAGATAGTGAGGAGAAAGCTGGCCCACACTGGACCAACTCCCTCTTTTGTCCAAAACGAGTCTGGGGAAGGAGTCATGCTTACAGGCCTGGCTAGGGCAAAAGCCCCTTCAGGGCAGGTGGGTGCCAGCTTTTCTGGGCTGTATCTGTGAAGAGGAGGGTTCTTGCCCTGCTGGGTTTGGGAAGCATCTGTTCTCTGGGTCCCTCCTCTTCTCCCGTGAAGCCACCAAACAGGCTGAGCTGTAGCTGCTGCCTGCCTGCCCACTATAAGAAGACACCTGCTAGCTGGACAGCCACACCCCAGCCTGCCCTGGAGTGTTAATGCAGTTAGGTTTCTCCCTTCCCCAGTCAGCCTCCACGTTCTTCCCTTCCCTCAAGGCCCAGTGCTAAGTCACCTCCTGCATGAAGCCTTCCCAGGTGACTCCAGCTTTCACTGCCCTATCTGCTGGAATACTAGGAGCTGTGCTTAGAGAGTCAGTGTCTATTTCACAGAGGAGGAGAGGTATCATGGCTCACAGTATGGGCTCAAATCCAAGCTCTTCCACTGTGTGGCTTTGGTCAAGTTGCTTTTTCTTATCTGTGTAGTGGAGATACTAGTACCTAGCTTACTGAGTTATTGGGGGTGGGTGTAAAGGAGTCAGTATATGAAAGGTGTTTAGCACAGTTCCTGGCAGAGTAAGTGTTCAATAAACATCAACTCCTGTTTTCCCCATCTGTCCCTTCCCACAGGCCAGGACCTATATTCCACCTGGTTCTCTTCCCGCACTTAGTTCTGGGCAAAGGATGAGTGCTCAATAAATATTTGCTGATTATAGAATTAAAGAGAATCCAAGGACCAGAGGATGACCTCTGCAGTGGACAGTGACAGAAGGCCAGGACTGAATGGGACCCTCAGGTCATCTAGTTCACTCTTCCAGTCTCCCTTTTTCACAGATGAGGAGCAGGGGCCCAGGGAGGTGGCATGAGCCTAATTAGAGAGCTAGGCAACATCAGGACTTGCTTATTTCCTCCATGGCTTTGCCTCCATCTAAAATGCCCCAAATCGTACCAGAGAGGAGACCTCTTCCTGTTGCCTCCACCCAGTGTTGGAGCCTCCTGGTGCTAAGAATAACCAGGGGCAGAGTGAAGAAGCCTCTCTTCACTAAACCTCCATCTGTCCTCTCAGCATCCCCCAGATAAAGGAGAGCTCATTGGCCTGCCCTGGAACCAGGAACCTCAAACTCCCTAAGGTACCCTTCTTTGCTACTGTGCATTCCTTTGCTCTGTCAATTCTTGTGGGCCACCAATGAAGCTACACAGTTGGATGAGCTCTAGATATCTGATACGGTTTTCTTTTTAATTAGTATCACCAGGAGGTTCTTTTAAAGCTCTGACTTCAACTCCTCTTGCTTAAAGTATATGCCCGTTCTTCCTTCAGGGCACATGGAAACAGCCCTTTCCCTCTGTGAGCACAGCCTGCCTCCAGGTTCTGGAGGGCAACATTCAGTCTCCTCCATCTCCTCTACCAACATCCATCTCCCCCACGACTGTCCTTGGAACTGACAGCCAAGGTCTCTCCACCCCAAAAGGTTTCAACTCTTTAGAGACTGGTGGCTACGCAGGGCTACAGATATCTTTAAAACTAGCCCTTTGTTTTGTCTGATTGCTAGAGTGTGCTTGGCAAGAGGTTCTGCGGAGTTGATGCCACTCAATAGCAGGCCTCAACCAGCAACACTAGGGGCTGGTAGATAAATATACCAGCTTCCTCCTCCCTTGGGCTAACCAACTCTGAGGCGCATTCCATGCCATCTCCCCAAAGTGCCCAGTGCAATGGAGCTCTGGTTGGCCAAAGCAATGATCTAATCATTTAATGAATTTGTTTCCTTCTTTTCTGTGTCTCATTCCCAACTCTCCTATTGACACATTATAAAGTTACCTTGCCCCAAATAAACGACTTATGTTAAAACAAAACAAAATTTTGAAATAGCCTTCGGTGTGGGCCACCCCTCTGGATATAGACAAGGGCTCTGAGGCCTTCTCACCTGAACTCATTCACAGGGCCTAGGAGTTAGGCTGCCCCCACTGCCATCTCCAGCACATACACATGTGCACAGATGCATGTGTGTGTGCATGCGTGCACTCATGTGTGTGCGTGCACTCATGTGTGTGCGTACACACACACAAACTCGTGTACACACAATGTTTCTAAATAGCTGTGAGGCTTTGAGTAATTCATGTCCTCCTCCTGGGTCAGTTTCTTCACCAGTCACATGAGGGGAGTTTACTCCTCTCTCAGGACCTTCCAGCTCAGACATTTGGGAGCTTGGGTTGCAGTGCCGAGACCTGTCCAGCCAGGCCCACCAATTCTAAGGTTCCAGGCTCTCTAGCTGGTAGAACCAACTCCCACCTATGTGCACAGGGACCTAAGAGACTGTGTTCCTCACAGGTATATGACTAAGAGTGTAGAAAGAGGACCCTGTCCTTGCCTTCCTTCCTTAAACTTCTCCACAGGCTTGTGTGGTAGAAGGTGAGTATGGAAACCCAGGACTGCTGTCATCAGTATGTATGGCAAAGTTTAAGGTTATATAATGGAAGGCAAAGAACATTGGCTTTGATTTCATGAAGACCTGGGGTAGAACCCTGGTCTGCTACTTACTACATGACCTTGAGCAAGTTATCTAACCTCCTCATCTACAAAATGGGCATCAAGATTTCTGTGAGAAATAAATATAGTTTGCAAGGCACCTAGTACAGTGCCTGGCACACAGTAGTCCTTGATAAGTGGTAATGGCAGTGGTAGTTGTATTCTGAGCTGGAACCCTCCAGCATGGAATCTCAAAAGAATCCCAGAAAAATAGCATGAGAATTCCTAAGTGGAAAGGGTTCTCAACATTTAGTCTACCTGTCAACTTTCATGAAACAGAAACAATAGAATTCGTGTGTTTTTTATCACACCTCCTGGCCTTTCCCAGCCCTCCAGACTAACTCCCAGGGTGTTTAGGGAGATGACTGAAGATGGGCTGGCTTCCTTGAGGCTTCCTCCCACCTCTGTTCTCCATCCATGGGAGCAACAACATAGTGAAGGGCCTTGCTCTGGAATGTCACCAAGTCATGGGACCCATAGAAACCCCATGGCCTCTGAGGAATCTGTCTGTATTCACCACCTATAGGTCATCCCTTTAACTGTAGCCACCACAGTGTGGGCATCCCCTAGGGGGGCATTTGCCCAGTGCCTATTGTGTGGATTTGTGTTTTGGTCACTTTATCAAAGAGCAGTGGAGGCCTGAGTGTTCAGTACCTCTATTTAAAGACTGAGCATCAGTAGAATGTTCCCAGCCTCTATTTCCCTCTCTGCACTCCACCTATAAAAATAGTACAAGGAAAGAGGTTTTAATCTTAATCTTAGGCTGTCATAGCTGGAAGGACTATCCTTCAATCCATAGTCTCTTATGGAATTGGTAGCCCATTGTTCCAGCTCCTGGAACATCATTCCTCCCAAGACCCAGTCTGTGTGTCCCTTAAGCTTCCAGAGTTTGCTGGGCTGATCTCACATCATGAAGCTGCCATCCCAATGGGTCAGATTCCAGGCAATCTGGCACTTGAACAATTATCATTTGGAATTTACTCTGTGACCTGCATAGCTTCTTGCAGCCCCTCCCTTGAGCTGCTGGAGGATGATCCTGGTGATCATAGCTGTCTTGGGCTCCATGTCCATCTCCAGAAACAGAATCTTTGAATGGCAGCCCACTAGCCTGGGGACACTTAAGGTCACTGCTGACATATGGGGGATGCTAGTCACAAGAGTCTTCCCTGGGCGAAGGCACCCATTTGAGAAGGTGAAAAGTAGAATGTGAATGGCACCAAAGTGAGAGGTTCTTAGAAGGCTTTGGTTGTGCCCACATGATATTAGCCTGATACATATACAGGAGTCCAGACTATCCATGGAGGTTATTCTATGCATGAGAACATCGGATTTGAGTGTGGGCAATGAAAGTCTTTGAGAAACTGAGAAAACAAGAGTTGCTCAGAAAAATATGTACGTTGGAGCTGAACCCAGGAAGGGCCACTCATGTGGAAAGCCAGCTCGTGTTCAGAAGGATGCTGGGTGCCTGCTGAGCACGCTAGTCCTAGCGCATATGCAACTGCCCTGGGGCTCCAGTGACCACTCCAGCCTATCTATCATGTCTGCTACCATAGTTGACTTCCTACAATGCAGATGCTTTGATATCAATTCTCTGTTCAAAACCCATCTGAGACTTTCCAGTGCAGTACTGCTGGGATAAAGTCCACCTGTGCGGCACTCAGGAGCATTCATGATCTTATCACAACCTCCCTTTCCAGCCTTATCTCCACTGAGTGACTAACCACTCTGTCCACACTGAAACTCTCCCCAAATCTGCCAAGCCCTCTCAGACCACCATGCCCCTCACATGACTTCCTTCTGCTTGAAATGCCTTCTCCTCTTCATGCTCTTACCCTTCCATCTACTCCTTTCTT